AAAAAAAAAAAAAGTAAAAGAAAAGAAAAGAAAACAGAAAACGAGTAGGATAAAAAAGGAAATAAACAATGGATATTTGAAAACAAAAAAAGAAAAACATTCTTTTTCTTCTAAGAAATGAAGTACTTTTTATGACAAGCTTTATCGACCGCGTCCTAAAATATTTACATGATATGTTACATCGAGAATTAGAAGATAATAAATGAAATGACCTATTCTAGCGATAATTCTATGCATGTAAAATGCAGGTACGAGACCTCGAATCATGATTTATAAATTATATCAATTTTTTGTTTTACCTCGTTCGCTTGAAGTAAAACAGTGAAAACAGTTTTCTAATCGATAGCATTTATAATTAATTCAATAAATGTAAAAATTAAATATAATATTTGAGTCTTCTTATTTGCAATTTTAGACGTTTACGATAACGTCGTACATGTAGATACTATATACATTTAAAATCAGAATAAATTATCAAATCTTAAACTAGAACCACGTGACCGATGTCAAAAGATGGGGTGTTTCTGTGATGAAAACCACGCACATCTATTCGTTTCTTCAACGAATCTCATTATCAGCTGCCAATTAGGGCTTGCTTTTCTTAAGCTTCCAAAGATATCATCGAAGGTTTGGTATAATTTTACAATTATAATGGAAAGGAGATATATGTATATCAAGATTAAGCAAATTATCGAAAATTGAATATATGAAACCAATTTGAATATATATCATAACGTAGATAGGATTAATTTCTTTCGACTTATATAACTATGCTAAAACAATATTTTTCACATCGCGATTGCAAAATACGACAAACGCAAACCTTGTCGGGAAGCAAGCTGTCATATAAAGCTTTATCCTCTGAGTTGTTCTCTTAAATAATGTTAAATTATATAGTTATATCTATAGTAATAGTGGATTAGTATTCGATATTTATCGATACAATCATCAGAGTTTGCAAATACGAATTTAACACGAACACGTATTTTGCAATATTTATTCGAAATACGCGATATAGTTGTTATACAATTGTTTTAATGCATTTTAATCGATTCTTTTGCAAGAATCAGAAAATTTTTCAAAGAAGAATTTAATACCAATCTAAAAATACAAACCGAGGAAATTCTATTTGACACGATACGCCTACGCTTTGTTTTACGATCAATATTAGCTTCGAACCAAACAATTCGATAAAATTTTACGATTGTTAGAGAATCGGGTAATAATTAGAAGGAAACGATATTTCTTGGATAAAAGTTTTTTTTTCTATTGTTGCCTAATCTTCTTGTTCCTTGTTTCAGTCGGATAACTCGACGCGAGTAAACTAATAAACGTCAACATTCTATGAAATTCAAGAATGAACGCTTATACCGATGACGTTGTCGATCAGTCGAGCAAAATACCGTTGTATAACGACGACGACGACGACGACTACGCAACTAGAGAAAAGGATCTCGTAGAAAAGATTGGTCGTCTTTTAAATTACATCGTCTTAGGCAGCGTTTCCAAAGAGCCCTTATTCCATAGTATCATACTTGACTTTCTTCACTTTGAAATAACGATAGGCCGCGTAACCGGCAATAGTAAGTAGAACGGCAGCAGCCAAGGTCGAGCCAACCGCAACAGGCGCGGTTTCGTCCCTAAATCCTCGTGCGCTTAATGATGTACACGAGAATTCCGCTGCAAATTCGTTATTCTTGAATTTAAACGGTTGCAGTTTCATATCTCTGAAATTTCAAACGAATTCATCCGTGAATATCAACTATTGGAAGCTTAATTTTTATATAATTCTATATATACATACATTAATACATTTCCTTAATTAATATTATCGATGAGAAATTAATCGAATTTATACCTGAGGAGCAATTTCGCGTGATTTTTCCCATCGGTCAATGGAATTTCTGTCTCACCACTGCAAGCGTACGATTTTCCAACTGGTGTCGGGAACAACATGGAGCTATGCTTTTGTCCAGTGCTCAACCTTATTGTCTTATCTTGTACAAAAACAGATTAAAATTATAATATTAGCGAGAAGAATATTCCGCGCGATGAGACCACTATTCAGTTCGACTTACTTGGTTGATCGATATGTTCGAAATGCCGATCACTCGAGTTATATGTAAGTTCGATTTTCTCAACGTACCATCGTTCGCCACCAGGTGTCTAAAAAATATTTTCCTTTTATTAATTCACAATTATTTCCAAATTGATTAATTCAAAGGATAATTCAAAGATTAAAACAATTTCAATCAATGATACTGATCGATTTAGAAGAGGATAGAAAATTGTCGCGCATGAAGAAAGTGAAATATCTATATCTATAAATAAACGGAAGGAAAAAAAGGGCTTGTCATAAGTATCGATTTATACGAAAGAAACAAAGAGAGAGAGAGAGAGAGAGCTTTTAAGATAACGTAATATTCGTGACCTGAGTCGTTTCTATGAATGAACTGTTTAGCTAATAGCATATGCCAAGGAAAAAAAATTATAGTTGCGTGTCCACGCAAATTATTTTTATCAATTCATCATCTCAAGAATTCTTTTTAAATAATATATTTCTAATTCAAATAATTTAAAAAATTTAACAAAGAAAAATTATTCGATGAACATACGAAATTATCCGAAATGATTCGAAATAATTGAACAAACTTAAAAATAATATAAATTCAATCTTAAAAATAATAATTACGGAACTTTATGAAACTTCAATAAAAAAAAATTCAAATTCTTTGACATGATTACCTTTGCGAAACTCCATGATAATAAGAATGCTTTCCATTTAAGTGACATCGTCACTGTATTTTCGTTATCACAATTGCCTGTCACAGTGGCATCATTTGGAACATAAATGCTCACTTCCTAAAAGAAATAGCATTACATAATTTTCTCACTTTTATATTTATTTATATATACTATTATGTGTTATTCAAGTACAATAAAATCTTACTTCATCATCTCCGAATTTTGTTCGATATTTCACCGTAATCAGAGCATCTACTTGTAAGAGAATGCAAGCTTGTCCATTACTGCGATCCAAACGATACAAAGGTTGTTCCGTGGAAAATGACCTATGTGTCGTTGATTCCAAAGACATCGTTGTAGTACTCTTCAATTCGAAATTTACCGCCAACTTTAAAATAAATCAACTTTAAAGTCATTGTTTGAAATGTAATAAATATTTATTTTAATTAAATTTACATTCTTTCGATAAATATGAACGATTAAGTTTCCTTTCATTTTAATAAAGATTTATTATTCAAAAGCATTATCATATCATATATATAAACATTATCATATACTCTTTAATGAATAAAATATATATATTGTTATGCATGATTAGAATATATAAAATATATAGCATATACAGTTTTGTGGAAACAAAATGAAATCTAAAAGATATAACAAGATAAAGTTAACAGATTGAACTTGCATCTACATCTAATCAATACTTTTCGACTAAAAAAATAAATGCGAATAAATTTAAAAAAATGCAATTATATTCATATATATAATATATTACTATAATCTCAAGGAGTGCTAAAAGGAGTTTAGATCAATTTTTCGAGATATAATTTTGTTTAACGATAAATTCGATTATTACGTTTCCACGACAAAGCAATTAGTATTAAAAATTCATTTAAATAATTATTCAGACATACGTATCAATTTAAAAGAATCGCTGAAACTAAATACACCCATTCATCATTATATCGAAATATGCATTTATCAAAATATTATAAAAGAAACAAGTTTTATTATATCATTAATAAAATTAAGAATCGTTCACGTTTCAAGATGATATTCTTACCAAAGATTGTTTGGTTTTGGATACAGGCAAATCGATGAATACTTTTGGCATTCGACGTGTCGTATATGGTTGATATGTGGTATATGGTTGATATGTCGTATATGGTTGATATGTCGTATTTGGTTCATATGTCGTATATGGTATATCATCTAATTTTTGTGGTATCGACGAATTAGGCACGCTGAACGCCGTATTCAAGACACACCCTGAAGAAAAATATCATTTATTAGAAAATAAGGTAAGTTTCTTGATCATTTTTTGTAATAACTATTCATCAAAAGAGTGTGCGCGTCGATAACTTTTCTATTAAGAGTTTTTCACTTCTCTGATAAAAGGTCGAGATGATTAACTTTAGAAAAAAATATCTCATAGAAATGATACGACATATTCTATTGGTTAAATGATTTAATAATAATATTATAAAATGTTATAAATTCTTTCATCATGTCTTTTATATTTATTCAAAATGATGATGCAATTTAATTGTCTTAATATAAAAATCAGTATTAATTGCTATGATGATATTATGACAATAAAAACGATGATACGATTGTGATCGAAGAAATTCTAAATCGAAAAAATTTTAGCCAAATTTAATTAATAGATTTGAAATATAGTTCAAACTTCGTTGTTCAACTAAAAGTCCAGTATCGTTTTATAACATAAGACGAAATTCAAAACAATATAAAAATAATCGAGTTGCTTTAATCTTCAAAATTCTTCATTGCAGAAATTAAATACACTACTATCTCGTTGGGAATTAACAATATTAACAGCAATCTAATTGAGAAAACTCACAGAATATAAATATTGTTTTAGTGTTATCCATACGGCGTGGCATCCTTTATAGCCAACAAATTCGGTAATAAATATTAAATAAATACTTGATTTAGTCTGATTATATAGCACGCAAGACGATTTCACTTGAACAACGTACGTAAAGCTTGTGAACTGAATGCGAAAGCTCAGGCGCGAATGGATCGATAATTGTAGCTTTCAGCATGCGCTGCGAAGCCTTTCTCTATACATGTAAACGTAGAAAAGCATAAGAATAAAATTCGTTCAATGGTTCTCTTCACGGTGGCGTTGTTGGAGATATTAAGCGTCGGCGTCGATGTTGACGTCGACGTTGGCGTTGGCGTTAAAGTTCACATCGGCGTCGATATCGACGTTCATTATTATATTCAACTATGCGTTTTAAATAAACTTCTCGATTATGATCTATATCATATTTATCTATATATTGAATGTAATTGTAAAGATGAATCGCATTTATGTTTAAAGTTGTTAAATCAAATCAAAAATAATATTTATATAAAAAGAAAAGTAAAATATTCCGTTTTATTTGCAATATGTAGAAGAAAGAAAAGTTATAATAGTTATAATTATCTTTAATGGAATAATGGAAACTGAAAAAATATTGGTGATTAATTATTTTTCGTTCTAATAAAAATTTTTGTTTTAAATGTTACTTAAATAAAATAAAATCATATAACAAAGCAATTTTATTTAGATTAACTTATTTAGATTAACTACATATAAACCATATTATTGTTCAAAAAAAAATCGCATTAATATATAAACAATATTTCATTATTATTTTTATAATGTTCAACTAAGTCCATGACATTTCATATAATATATCCCTTATATCTATTGTAGAATCACTTACACATTTTCTTCATTTTCATTTATTTTTTATTTTATTATTAATTACTTTTTTTTAATAATATTCGTAATATTTATTCGAAATAACGTAATGTTAGAAGTTGAGAGATTCTACTAAGAAAAAATTTATTGAATAAAGCTAAAATGTCAAAAGTTGAATTTTGCATATTTACACTTAAATTTAAATACAATATTCGATTATCGAAACAGATGGCGTATTTACATCGCGAAAATACTTATCTGTTTGCATTATCCTCCACCAGATGTCTATATGCATGTTTCAATGCAACAACAACGATTCGTTTCTATGTTTCCATCGGTCTCAACTCAGAGATAGGAGCAAAACAAGATAGTTTTCACTGTGAGTAAGCTCGAGTTCCTTTTAAAGGTGAAAAAATTCAAATTTTAACTGAATTCTTCATTCGTGGAGGTACAAATTCATGGTTGAAAAAAATCATTAACGCATTTTTCGAGTGGGGGACTATGTTGACTCTCAGAGTAAGGGTCGAAGAAATATCAAGGGCTAAGTGAATTGCGTAGTGAGAAGAAAATTATTTCTGATTTACAGGCGAACATCGCCGATCGTTTTGCAGTTATCGCCGTAGTTCGACCGACCATTCAGAATTTCTTGATTGGAAAGAATTTTGTTACATTTCCTAAACCTGAATCAAAAATGTCGTTCGAAATTGAAAAACGTAAGACATACGATCATTTTGTTTATTTTGGTAGTTATGTAAATGTTGATCGTTTTGATTGTTTATTGCAATTGAATATAAATTACGTCATCTCAAAATATTAAATAATAAAACAATATATATAAAAAGGAAAATGCCATAAAACATCGTTGATTATTATTATCTGTGTTAAACAGAGAAATTCTTGAACATGCCGCCAGAAGAAAAAAGAAAATACTATAAGGGAATTATAAACACGATAGACGAAATACCAACATGGTTCCAATATTGGAATAAAAATAAAGCAAATATAAATTTGACCGATCTCGAAAAAATTGAAAAGATCAATGAAGAAATGGCTAATAAAATTTCGATATGGCAAGGAGATATCACATCTCTTGAAATAGATGCGATCGTCAATGCAGCAAACTCGACTCTTCTTGGCGGCGGTGGAGGTATATTAAAATGTTTTTTACAATTAAAAATAAAGATACGAGCAACATGTAAAAAAAAAATTTAATCATTCTATAGTTGATGGAGCTATACACAAAGCTGCTGGACCTAATTTGAAAAAAGAATGCGCTACTTTAGGTGGATGTCATGTCGGTGAAGCTAAAATAACCGGTGGTTATATGTTGCCAGCAAAGTGTTAGTATATTTTAATATAGTAAAGAGAATACTAGTTATGTAAGTATAATATTTTAGATGTGATTCATACTGTTGGTCCACAAGGGGAAAAACCAGAAAAATTAAAGGAATGTTATGAAAACAGTTTAATCGTTGCTAGAGAAAATCAATTGCGCACAATTGCTTTCCCTTGTATATCAACAGGAATTTATGGATATCCACAAAGACCAGCAGCTAAAGTGGCTTTATTGACAGTCAAGAAGTTCCTAATAGAGAACAAAAACGCTGTAAGATTCTATATTAATAAAGTATATGCATTGATACATTAAGATATTGATATATCTTTCAAATTACAGGTGGATAGAATAATTTTTTGCCTATTTTTGAAAACCGACAAAGATATATACGAAGAATTGTTACAAAAATATTTTGCTATTGATTAGATTACTCTCTAACAGAAGTATTCCATGTTTTGAGATTAAACTCGAAACAAACAGAGTGAAACTGTATCAGTATACACATCGAATAATATTCATAGAAAAATATCAAAGTAATATATTTTTCCTAGACATCTCCTCTATTCAAAACGTTGGAAAATCGGTTATCCGGTATTTCAAAGATTATAAGTGATTCAAAAGTTCGCGGGTAAACGTATCGTTCGTTGTCGCGAAGCGTCGGTGATTAACGCGATCGCAGCGCTGCAACTTTAGAGTCCATCCGCATCGTGTTTCGACCCGACGACGGTACGTCGCCATCTTGAAAAATCAAAGTGTGGTAATGTCTGTATGTGGTAATAGGTGGGGGACGGTCGTTAATGTGGTGCGTCTCGTACGGAAAATCTGTCACAAATGGGTAAATATCTCTTGTATTGAAGCCGTTCAATTAAAGGATCATTCGGTTTTGGTTTTTATCGCGTTGATCGAAACGTGAGAACACTAGCAAAAGAAGCACACCCATAGCTTCGTAGTGCTCTTGCCGATCTGTCGTGGCGAAGGTGCGTTCTCTCAACGAAGATCGCGGCTAGTGAGTAGTGCTTGCATTCAAGGAGTACAGTGTCATTTCTGTGGACAGTTTTTAGAATTTTAAGATCGATTAATACCATTCGGATTGCGTTTTTATCATCTTGTCGTTAATAAAGCAATATCGTCGCGTCGTCGAATCTCGAAATATGTGCGTATGCGCGTTCGCGGCGTGAAAATTATCAGATTCGTCGGCTTGCTCCAAACAGTTAAAACGGGACTAAAATATTAGGATTTCGTGATAGAAACGGAACATAGGTTATATGTCGGTAACGTATCCTCTTACTCGATCGCTCGGACAAGGCGGACGTACGGACGGAGTCCCGTAATCCTGAATGGCCGCCGCTACCGCTTTCTAGGTTACTGACGGACATCCAAAGAGAGCGACAGAGAAGGAGCGATTGAAATAGAGAGAGAGAACAGGCACTAGAGTGAAAGAGTATACGTGCACACGAGTGGGATAGAGAGTGAAAGAGTGAGAGATAGATAGGAAAGACAGTATAATAGAAAGAATAAACGAGAGGGAACGTCGTGTAGAGAGGAAAGAATAGAATAGTCGCAAAGAGAAGAGAAGAAAAGGGTTGAGAAGAGAAGGGAAGGGACGAAAAGGGAAGGCAAGGGAAAAAAGCAAAAAGAAAAGAAAAGAAGAAATGGGAAGCGAAGAGAAAGAAAAATAGCGAGCTATCGCGCGCATTCACAACTTTAAACGCAATCACCGATGTGTGACGTCCGAAGTATCCGATCATCACCGTTTTTCGAGTGTATTTTCCGTATTCGCCACCGATTTCGGATCGGAGACTCGTTGCATGTGGCAGACGAAGCTTGAA